CAGCACCCACTGCTGCGGTGGAAGGTTGTCCTCGTGGACGACGGCGAGTTGGCCTGGCTCGAAGTTGGGCTGCAGTTTCGCCCACTTGTTGCGCTGCTGGAGCTCCATAACGTAGCTCTTCGACCACGCGCGCCAAAATTGTAGCTTGAGAAAGCAAACAAGCTGCCATCTCTCTAAGCAGCGGCTGGGGTTGCTGCGGTCGCGAATTGAGCACTGCCTCGATTTCTACGAGCAGAGTTGCGGCGCGCACCAGTAAGTGTTTCGCCAACTTCACTGCTGGGGGCGCCCTCGCAGGTATGAAGGCGAACGTGAACCCTTCGTCGGCGGCGAACTGGAGAATCTAAGGCTTCAGAAAGGCGTCCCGCAGCTCCGAGGAAGTTCGTCACGTTGTCGCAATGTATCGTGGCTGGCATCCCCCGGCGTCCAATTAACCTTTTTAGGGCGAGAATAAATTTATCAGCAGTTAAGTCAGATACAAGTTCTAAGTGTACTGCCTTTGAAGCAAAACAAACGAAAATGGCAATGTGGGTGAAAATTTCTCAACTGGACCTGGAATTTTTACGTGAAAATTTGTGGGTGGAGAGGTTTATAGATGTGAAAGGGATTCTGAGAATTTTGTTGAAAAATTTGAATTTTTTAAGTTTTGCAGCGGAATAGCTGCGCTTGATTGTGTTGGCATAACAAAAAATTAAATTAGTGGAAAAAAGCAAACGATAATTTACAAGGCGTACTTAGCACGGTGCATAGGCAACTGGCTGAGTCAGTGGGATCGTCGGTTCGAATCCTACTGAAAGAAGTCTGATGAGGAAATGTGGTGATTTCCGAAATAGCTATCACTTCTACCATTTTTTCAAATTATTGTTGCTTTTCCACAATAAAAATTTTCATTTAAACCGGCCTCGAGCTCAATATAAATTGTTGAATATAATTGTTATAAATGCCAAAAAAATAACAAAAACAAATAACTTAAGGACGAGCACACCTAAAAGTTAAACATTCTAAAAATAGAATTATTAGCAAAAAACCAACAATACCAACAACCACATGATCAAGTGAATTGCAGCGGAATAGCTGCGCTTGATTGTGTTGGCATAGCAAAAAAAATATGAAAATAGTGGAAAAAAGCAATCGATAATTTACAAGGCGTACTTAGCACGGTGCATAGGCAACTGGCTGAGTCAGTGGGATCGTCGGTTCGAATCCTACTGAAAGAAGTCTGATGAGGAAATGTGGTGATTTCCGAAGTAGCTATCACTTCTACCATTTTTTCAAATTATTGTTGCTTTTCCACAATAAAAATTTTCATTTAAAACGGCCTCGAGCTCAATATAAATTGTTGAATATAATTTTGGTAAAAAATTACCAAAACGTACTGTCACAGGTAGGGATGACCAAGCACTAACTAAATGAGTAAAATAATGGCTCATGGAAAAACGTTACTCGTCATGTAAACTCTTGTGTAGGTGTCCTATTTATAGGACATTGGGCATATCTGAGTTAACCCAATGTAACCCCGAGGTAAAAGTTAAAATTTCAAGACGCTAGGAAATCGCGTTCATTTTTAATATTTTTTTTGCTGACGGTGCTAAGCATTTTCTTCTACATATATAAAAGGCACCATCCTAAGATAAAACGTGAGTGAATTTAACCCCTACTTGGTTTCTTATTTTTTTTAATACCCAATCTTTATATATGGACCGCACGAAAAGCTCCTTTTCATATAAAAGTTCGTATTTGTCCTACCCGTGACTGAGGAATATCGGATTTTTTGTATAATAAAACCATAATTTTTTTGTAGTTTTTGCTTTGTTTGGTTCCTGGTTTTATTATAAGACATCAAGTTCACACAGAAAAGTAAAAATAAATTCGCAGAGTTTCCGTAAAATATATCTGCTCCAAAAAGCAGGTTCTTTTTTTTGTTCCGCCCGTGACAGAAGAAATAAATCCGATTTTTTTCATATAAAAGTAAGCTGGAATTTTTTTCGTATTTTGTACTAACTCATAGTATAGTCAATTAGGTGTAGCTTTATCATTGTTTCAATTTGAGGTTCCAAACCACCTCTAGTTATAAAGAATACTCCAGATATGAATAGGTCAAAATTTGCATTTACAAAGGCGCTATGAGAAAACTCTAAATACATTTATTCATACAATCAATAAAACAAAAGTTATTGCGTTTTGAAGGAATACATACCTAAATTTTCAACTTAGTTTTGCCTATAACTTTTTAAATGTAATAGTTACAAAAAAAAGTTATAAGAAAACGTTGTAGATATCATTATTATCTAAAACAAAGATCTTAATAAAATTTTATTGTTCCTTACACTTCATGAGATAAACTCAAACAACTAATCAGCCCTTATTTTCAATATCGTTTGCGGTATACCACCCCCCTCGAAAACTAGAATTTAAGTTCACGGTGATGTGTTTTATTAAAAGCAAAAATAAAATTGCACCGTGTATGAAATGCACGGTCTGCTCTTTTTTTGGACAGAATTTACTGTACTATTTGCTAAATTGCGAAAATAGGTTTCTTAGCATTAGCTGTAGTGTCGTAAAGTGCTTAAGTAGTTTATAAAAACATGCTATAAGAGGTTTTTTTTTATGAGGAATCCATTTCTGCGCTTATCTTTTCCTTAAAGCTTCCCCCAGAGGGTGCAACAGTGAAAGTTTTCACATTTTCTTCTAAACCAATTTTCGCAATTTGGTAAACTCCAAATTTATTTTAGACCCATGATTTCGTAAGGAAATCTCGGTTAACTTTCGTAACAGACAAAAAACTCATAGATGGGCTCTTTATAATACGGCTCTATACACATTTTTCTTTTTCTAAACCTCCAATTTAGCTCTTACTTAATTAAACTTATACATTTCTTTTCACAGGCTTCAGAACATAAACGCAGCCAGAAGGAAATTGGTGATATTGCTGGTGTAGCCGATGTAACAATAAGGCAGTCGTATAAATTGATGTATCCCCATGCATTAAAGTTATTTCCGGAGGATTTCAAATTCACTACCCCTATTGATCATCTACCACAAATGTAGACATAATGAGCTTTTATAAATCCGAATTAATACCTTAGTAAAGTGGATCCAAAATACACATTTGTGAAAAAAAACCAATGAATAAGTAAAGATCATTTATAGAAATACAATCATTTACCTTATAAGTTGTTTCTAAAAAAATACTTTTGTCACTCAATAAATTTATATTCAATAAAGTAATAAAACATGGTCAATTATTTTTTTAGTGCTATAAAGGTCGCAAGGAATGCCGAACAAGAGTGGCCAACGTTTTGTGCAACTTAGTGGAACAGCCATTAGGGCCCTCTACCAAACGATAACTAAACGCTAGAATCCATACTTGGTAGCCAAAATACACCGTCCGACAAAACATTGTACATACATAGTTATGAGAAAATCCAACAAACTTGAGAAAATGCGGACCAAAATAGGTTACAGGTGTCGCACTACACCCAGAAAAGGGTTTAGTTATAATTACCAAGATTTGGTTATATTGACCAAGTAACAAAGTTGGATATGGCGAAATAAATATCTAGTTCACGAAAGTCGGCAATTTACTTGAGACTTCTAGTTGGGACAAATGTATATTTGTTAATAATTACAAAATGACTACCTGATTGGACAATATTGTTAGTTGAATAAAATCATTGTTGAGCAAATATAAACAATGCTTTGGTTGATACAAGTTTTCAATTAATTTTGTGAACTTGCTGTAGACATGAATCAGCTAACCGTTTATTATTGGAAAAAAAGTTTGAGTTTGACATAAATAAAAATTTACTCGATGGTTGTTGTGTTTACTTTCTTCTTTTATTTGCATATATTAAGCATAAAAAATACATATGTACATATTTACATAAATATTACTAGTGTAAATAATACATATGTATATGGTGGTAAGAATTTCCTAAAAAGAAACGATGAAACAGGAATAGTCGAGCGAAAACCCAGGTCAATATTTGCTGGTTTAAGTATAC